TAGCCTTTTATTAGGGAACAAGAGATTCAGGGGAGAATTCCATCCAATGAAGGTTGAGGGGGGGGCTGCACTCCAAGGTCAGGGTCAGCGATTGGGTCCCCAGGGTCAGTGGTCAGGCACACCCCCACACGGATGGGCTCTCTCATCAGGAGAGGGACGGGAAAAACTTCGACATTTGCCAAAGTGCCTCAGACCCTTAACGGGAGGCACCCGATCACGTGTGAGAATGGCTCCCCACAGGTGGGTTCCCGCCAGGCGTGGGGGGTTCGGTTGGGGGAGGGGCGGCCGAACCCGGGACTCAGCCGCTGCCCGACCCGCAGTCCTCCAAGCCGATCCTGGAGAAGCGGCGCCGAGCGCGCATCAACCAGAGCCTTGCTCAGCTCCAGACCCTCATCCTGGACGCGGTCAGGAAGGATGTAAGTCGGGCCCAGAAGGGGGAATCCAAGGACTGAGGCGAGCAGAATGGGACGTGGCTGAGTTACAGACCACCACCCTGTCCCGGCCCCCAGAGCTCCCGCCGTTCGAAGCTGGAGAAGGCCGACATCCTGGAGACGACGGTGATACATCTGCAAAACCTGCGTCGCTTTCGGGTGACAGGTGAGGCGCGGGTGGCAGCGGCTAGGGGGCGGGAGGCGCACAGGGCCACCGCCCTAGACACGACAGCTGGTTTCTGCTGCTCCCGCAGCCGCACTCAGCTCGGACCCCGCTGTCCTGGGCAAGTACCGTGCAGGCTTCAACGAATGCCTGGCCGAGGTGACCCGCTTCCTGGCTGGCTGCGAGGGTGTCCCAGCCGAAGTTCGCTCCCGCTTACTCGGCCACCTGGCAGCCTGCCTGCTCCAGCTGGGGTCTTCGCGCCGCTCGGCCTCGCTGCCCGCCGCTGCAGACGAACCGGAGTTCGAGGTCTACGCTGGCCGCCCGCTGCGGCGCTCGTTCGACGGCCCYTTTCCCCGGCTGCGCCCAGGGGCCGCGTTCGCGCCGCTCCTGCCACCTAGGCTGACCCTGGAGCCTCCCGCCGCCCCCAGGATGGGGTCTCCAGGCCGGAGCGGACCCTGGAGGCCGTGGCTACAGTGAACTGCAGAGGGTCCTAGGGCCGCGGCCTTGGCCAAGACTGTAGCAGAGAGTATTTATTTCCAGAGGCTTGGGGTGGTTTTGTGGTCTTTGTGAACAGCCTGGTTCAGGCCCGCAGAGCGCCCAAGTTGGTGGTCTTCTGGCGGCCCGGCCGCCGGCTCCGGGCAGACGCGCCGGTGGGTGCCTCTTTTCCGAGGCCCCGCCTGCTCGCAGACCCAGCCCTTTCGTAGACTGGGTCCTCTTCCGGCCCGCCCCGCAGCCGGGGCCTGCTATGGGGCCGCCCCTGCCTCTGGAGCGTGGGGATTGCTTTGGTCCGCGGTCGGGCGGGCGACGCTGGGGTGGGAATGGGAAGCGTGTCCAGGGAGCGCAGGCAGGRAGGCTTCCCGGAATGGGTCTCAGTACTGGAAGGCGGTCGCACGGCATCACTGGGCAAGTTTTCTTTAAGGGTACTTATCCCAACTTCTCCCMGGACCCTGGGAGGTAGAGATCGGCCTTTTCATGCCATTGCTTCCCCGGGAGTTGTCCTTCGCTGGGGTGAGGACTGTCTTCTTCCTTGTAAACTCAAGGTTCAGCACAAAGCCGCCTGCATCCACCTAGGCGGACCCCCAGGCCTGCACTGGTAGGGGTCCCAGCAGGGAAGGGTGTCTGGGAGAGGCTGGCAGATGGTAATCTGGACTCAGGAGACATTCCTTCCATGAATCCTGAGCCCCTGCCTTTGGAGGCAACTCAGGTCACCAAGCAGAAATGCCAGGCCACACTGGGCACGCACCCTGTGCACCCCTGCAGCCACAGTCCTGCTACCCTCAGAGCTGCTGCTGGAGGCTGGGCTCCAGGTKCCTGAGGGAGTGGTCAGACCGCAGGGAGTCTTCCAGAGCCCTGTGCAAGGTGTACCCAGACCCGATTCCCAGTGTGGCCGAATTCATCAGACACTTTCCTGGCACCTGCCTGGATGGGCCATCAGGGAGGTGAGTCCCTCTACCACAGGCTTATCTCACCTCTTCCCACAGGTTCGCCTGGGTCCTCCTGGGCAGGACCATGGAACCTGGCAGAAGCCTCTAAGTCTCTACCAAGACAGTCACCCTACTCTCTGCCTCCCTGCCTCCCTGGGCTCCCGGGGCTGGGGCAGTGCCCCTGAACAGCAGGTCACCATGTGGGCCAGCTGCTGTACCCTGGGGTGTACGCACATGCAGGGACCCTGCTCCCTTTAGATCTGGGTGGAAGGAGAAGGTGGAGGCTGCCCTTGGCAGGAGGGTTGGAGGGATCTGCAGAGGGGTGACTGGAGGAGGGGAGATGTTCAGGGAGGGTAGGGCTCCTGCTGGAAATTGAGACTGGTGCGTGGCTARGGGAGGCCACTTGCTCAGAGTTGGGTTCTAGACACCCTGCAGGGAAAGTGGGACTCTCTGCCTGGGTGGCCAAAAAGAGGAGGCCAACCAGGATGCCACCTGTGAGGTTGGGCTTCAGATGCCCCCTCTCCCCAGAAGCAGCAGCATCATCCACCCCTGCCCCTTACTTCTTGATTCCTGGATCTGTTATGRGCGCTGTCGCCAAAGGAATCTCTGGGGTGGGCACCACTTAGCTCCACAGGACCCTTACTCTCAGCTGGGCAGACCCTCCTGATCTCTGTTCCTTGAACTCAGTCCCCTCCCCAGTTTTCTCCCCACTCTCTATGGACCTCAGAGCACTCCCCTGCTGCAGGCTTCTTCAGCTGTCTGGGTCCAGTGGGACTGTTCTCCCGCCAGCCACACCTGTGTCCTTTCAAACTTAGCACCTGCTTCCAACAGTGGGCTCGACCTCAGCCCATGCTGAGCTAGTCAGTTGGTGTAAACAGTGTGCAGAAGGGGAGTTGGGGTCTCTCTTGAGTCAACAGGGAGGTCCTAGGAAGCATGGCCTGGGCTGAAGCTGGGTCCCCAGCAGGGGACACTAAAGGGGTGGTTCTGGGTCTCCCAGGCTGCCCCCCTTCTTGGCAACTGAGAGTGGCTGGGGCTCAGGAGCAGGGAGTCCCCTGCATCTGAGCCTCAGCCTGTCTACACACAGCCAGGACACTGCTTGACCCTGTTTCCTACCACCACTGTGTGGGCTGAGGCCACATAGACCCTCATCAGCTGCTGTTCTGCAGGGCTGCCCTCATAGTGGGAGCAGCGCCCCCAAATGCAGGGTGTTCCCACTCTCAGGGGGCCTCTTCCTTTCCTCCCTACCCTTCTATGTATTTCCTGTTTCTGAAGAGACCCTTGGGTCTTTCCTTGTCCCTCCCCCTCCCCCAGCTGTTCATGTCTTGGCTCTGGTCTTGCAGAGGCTTCCTGCTGAATAACAGATGGAGTCCCCTTTTCTGGGTGGAGGGGCACTGGTCATGGCCCTCCCAGTTCATCTCCAACAGCCCCCCTTCCAACCCCGTGCCTGGACTGGACCAAGGGTCAATAAGTGCTCAATTCATGTGCCCTGTCGGCAGGCTACCTGCCTGTGTGGTGGGACTAGCTGGTCCTCTCCTGTGGCTTGGGGACTGAACAATGACAACAGATTATAGGTCTTTGAAATCTGGAGAAGAACTTAAACCCTATGGTGACAAAAGTTAGTGGCCAGGCCCATTAACCTCCATGCACTGGAAAACTGGGGAGGGTCCGGACTGGGGCTGCTTGGATTCCTGGCTTATGAGAGGTGGGGCCCACTGTTCCCCCTCCCCCTCCTCCCCTCACCTAGCATCCCTGCTCCAAGGCTGTCTGTTTCCTACAGTCCTACCTGTGCCTGGATGCTCTCCCTCTGCTCCCTGGAACCCCTGGGCTGCATCAAGGAAACCGGGGCCCTGGCCTGGCAGCCTCCTGGGCACCTCCAATAGTCTCCYCCATGGGCCACATCCCATGGCACCAAGGTTGGCCTGTGCGACAGTGGGGCCCTGGAGAGGGGACGGGCTGTCCTTCAAGGCAAGGCGCAGGCTCCTTCCTGTCTGCTCGGGGGAAGCCAGCTGCCCTTTCCATGGACAGAGCAACATAATAGATGGAGGGGCACTGGGCAGCAGTGGCCTCCTGCCAATGGCAATGACAGTGGGTTTAGACATGGATCCCTGATGGGACCTTGACCGTGACAAGCCCTGTGCCAGCACCTCAGCATGAACTCCTGTGCACAGAAGCTGTGAGACCACAGCATTTGTTGCTTTGAGCTGCTAATTTTTTAAATATTTATTTTTTTTAGTGTYGTTGGGCCTTTATTTTATTTATTTATTTTTATGTGGTGCTGAGGATGGAACCCAGGGCCTCACACGTGCTGGGCGAGTGCTCTACCACTGAGTCACAACCCCAGCCCCAAGCTGCTAAATTTTTGTTATGCAGCAATAAGGAACAATATTGATAAATTCTATGTAATTTACTGAATACATGCAAGTAGCATTAGCAGTACAGACCCCAGGGGTTAGAAAAYGTGCCCAAGGGATTCAGAGGCCATGGGAGTGAGGAAGAGGTTGCTGGGAGTGAAGGAGGAGCAGCCACTGTGGCCACTGTGATGTGCAGAACTCGGGTGGTGCTACCGCCTTACTCTCACCTGGCACAGATTCCCCAAGTGCCTGAACAGCCTGGCGCCCTGGTGGCCGTGCCCCTGCCAGCACTGGGGGTCCTGTCTGGCTGTAACCGGAGGGGCACCCTGGATCAGGGCAGGTGAGGACTCACAGTCCCCAGGTGAATGTGAACCTATGACTTGTGTGCACAGATGTCAGTTGCTGTGATTACTGTGCCTCCTACCCTAGGCAGACAGCCTCTCAGGTGGTCCTGCCTTCTGCACAGACACACGTGAYCACACTGTCTTGCCCAAGTGGGATACGGGGGCCACAGTGACAGAAGCATTAAAACACATGTCCAGGGCTGGGGTGTGGCTCAGTGGTAGAGCACCTGCCTGGTCTGTGTGATGCCCTGAGTTCGATCCTCAGCATTACATACAAATAAAAAATAAATATAAAATCCATTGACAACAACAAAAAATATATTTAAAAAAAAACCACCTCCATGGTCACCTCAGAGATGTTACTGACATCCTGCCTGGTCTCAGCACCCACCTGGTGGCTTCAGGCTCACCTGCCTGGCCCTACTGTGAGTCAAGGGCCTGAGGCATGTGTGGATAGGTAGGAGAAGGTCAGGGTAGGACACTCCCAGGAAGAGGGTGCACCTCGCTGTCGAGGGCCTCCTGTGGCCACACGGGATCTTGCCTTTAGCTGGCAAAGCTTCCCCTGCTCCAACAGTCCTCACCTGGGTCATCCCCACAGCCCAGTGCCATGTCCACATGGGGGCAGATGTTTACCGATTGTTCATGACAGATGCAGGATAAATGAGGGATGGAAGTTTGCAGCAGGAAGCACATGTCGAACAGGAAACAGACTGAGGGGTCCTTGTCCAGACAGACAACTTAGCAGTGGGGCCAAGAAGATACGAGATGCCCATGTGGTGCTCTGTATGTGTGTGTGTAAATGCAGAGAAAAAATTCTAATTAAATGCCTACATCTTTGCTAGTCCCACCAGGAACAAAGGCAAGGTAGTGCTGTTCAATACAGAGAATATCTAACAATATTTGGTTTTGAAAATAGGCACATGGATACACACAGATATATCCATTAGATAGATGTCTTGCTCAACAAACTCTAATATCTAACAGATTGCTGGGCACATAGCAAGAAAAATTCCAAAGAATACATAGCGGATAGTAAGAAGAAATGATGCTTAAATCTTTAGTGTCATGAACTCTTTCTTTAACTTGCTTATACACCTGAAGGTCAGGAGTTCAGATCCATAACCATGACTATAAAAAAGGTCACCACATCACAGGCAGGTCACATCCCTGAAGAGAGTCCGTCTTCTTCCTCAGGGTAGCTGACCTCTTCATGTACCACGAGATGCTTCCTTTCCTGCCACCTGTGGCTCCAGATACTCACATTCTTTTTCCTGGGTCCTGACACCTTCTCACTTTGCTTCCGAGAAGTCCTTGCTTTTCCCGGTGCCTATTATTGTCTCTGAGCCAACTGCTTTTGG